AGAGAGAGAGAGAGAGAGAGAGAGAGAGAGAGAGAGAGAGAGAGAGATGTGCATTGCCCCTTTAAGTATGCTGACACCACACTAAGTACATTGCCTTTAAAAAGATCAGGAAGTTGAGACAGCAGCTGCGGCCAGCTTTCTCGGTCCTGAGCCCTGTTGTGTCTCCCCCCTGCTCTATATAGAGAAGGGATAAGCAGGGGCAGGAGGACACCCTGACATTAGCCCCCTTCTTCCCCCCTCCCCTCCACAGCAAGCAGGAAGCTCCGGGGAGCAGCTCCAAGGCAGAAGGCAGGAGCAGCACATGGCAGTGGGGGGAGGGACAGCTGAACTGCCGGCAACTGATAGCCTGCTGGGCAGCTGCTGCACAGGGAACTTAGGGGAGTGGGGAGCTGATAGGGGGGCTGCCGCTCCACCCTGGTTCCAAGCCCCTACCAGCTAGCTGCAACGGTCTGCTCTTCCTGCACGCAGTGGACAAAGCAGGCAGCTGCCAAACATAAGGGAGCATTGCGCAACATTAAACGAGCACGTTACCTAATTGATCAGCAACATAACACCAGGGAGGTTACATTGGGGAGGGATAGCTCAGTGGTTTGAGCATTGGCTTGCTAAACCCAGGGTTGTGAGTTCAATCCTTGAGGGGGCCACTTAGGGATATGGGGCAAAAATCTGTTGGATGATTTAATTGGGGATTGGTCCTGCTTTGAGCAGGGGGTTGGACTAGATCTCCTGAGGTCCCTTCCAACCCTGATATTCTATGATCTCTATGAACCGGGCCGACTTTAAGTGAGGAGTTACTGTAATGATAAATTGGGTGTGAAAAGGGTTCAAGCATAACCTATTTTTAATTCCAGTGATGTGTGCTATAATGCTGAAGAAGTCTCCTTTTGCTAAATGAATACTTGTGTTCAAGTTTATTTTGAGTCATTAACAATTCTACTGCAACTAGCCCAGCCACTAGCCAGTGAGAGCAATAATAATAATTTTGATAACTTTTTCCATGCAGACATCTTGGAGGTCATTACATATTTTTCAACCAAATGGAAACTAGGGGACAGAGTAAGAATCCAAGGACAAATTAAATAAATATGCCTTTAGCCAAGACTTGTATTTACAAAGTTTCAACAGAGAATTAAACAGATATGGTGCCCTGTAACTAAAAAGCCATTTCTACATATCCATCCTAATAAAAATATAGTAGCACTCAACACACTTTATTTACCATTTCTGTGCAACCATATATAAATTGCTAGCAAGGAGTCGGGCACAGATCATTCAAAAAATATCTTAAGACAATAACTTTACTATCAAAAGAGAAAATCAGTGATCTGAACTGGGAGCCAAGATAATTCCTTCAATATTGGTGTTCTGTATGCTGAAGTTTAACTACAAAGAAGATCTTGTCAGACAAAAAAAAGGGAGATTGTATGGCTGCCAATTAAACAGATTGCATCCTGGTTTATAAAATACTTTAATCTGACAATATTGTTCAACTGACAGAAAGCTGCTCAAAGATGAAGTTAACATGTTTTCCCAAAATCCATAAGGACTCCCTGAACCCCAGAACTGCCATTATGCTATTAAACATTTAAACATCACAGATTGTTTCAATGACTCGCACCAATCACATCATATCTATCCCTGGGACAATAAACCACTGTCTAAATCCTGTCTGTATTCAGGTAGCCATTGTCAATTTATTTCTTGACGTTTGACCAGAGACTGTATTGAAGCCTCAAACAAACAGATTTAAAGGACAAATAGTCAATAGGTATAGAGACAGCACTACTCTCTCATCCCAAGAGATGATCTCCCCAGAGAAAGTACTGTTCTGCCAATGTGCCTCAGTATGTGGAAGCTGACTGGCACTGCTGAACTGGTTCTGTGGATAAATTTTAGCTTCCAATACGGTCAATCTACCATGTCACAAGCAGAATTTTTCTCTGAACAATAAAAGCAAACCACACTTCTGACAGGCAAACTTCATTAAAGTATTTTCTAATCAGGAACGGCTTCCCTATACAATTAGCAGCAGTGAAAGCACTTACCTGTACACCTATTCCGGCCTAAAGTCGGAAATAAGTTAAATAGTCTGACAGATATTCCATCTCTCTATTCATTCCAATAATTTCTGAAATTTTGCCTATTCTGATGAGGCAAAAAACAATAGAAAATAAGTCGTGCATTCAAAGCTCTGTGTGTGTATGTACATATAAACAAACAAACAAAGCTTCTTTAGCATTAAATTTGAAAAATTGATACAGATGCAAGTGAAGTTAACAGATCTAGAGGTACCAAATCCAGACAGCACCATGTATAAAGAAGAATCTAAGGTATTTAAACTACATCTGTCTTCTCCATCCACCTTAGAAGAAGCCAGGCATAAAGCTTTGCTGCAATGCTGGTGAGTGTCAGCATGCCAGTCAAGACACAACTATAGAATTAGAAGCAATGTACTCTACCTGTGTGTTCTTGGTCTCTGGTTTAAGGAAGCTGTTCTTCCTGGACTGTGTTGGCTTCCAAGTCTGGCAGGACTGGTCATGTAATCATTAGGAACAGTTGGAGGTTTAACTGGCTCCAAGGTTTTGTAAGGAGTATTTCGTCTAGTCAAATGAAAGTGGGTTGGAGGAGAGAAAAAGCTTAATTAAAGTAATGAAACCATTTGTTTTCCTAAACCTTCACTTAAGATCACTGCACAGTGACCCAACGTTACCATACAGAAACCATCTCTGAAAGTGGCAAATTAAATAGGTGTTTCATTCTTAACATGTTAAAGGGACTAATTTTAGTCACCTTTCCAGGACAAATTGTATTTTAAAAGGTTAAAGGGAAATTTCAGTGTCTAGGCAATATATGAAATAAAACCTACTGAAAAAAATTCTTTTGAAAATGCTTTCATACAGTTAAGGCCAAGCTGTATGTTCCCTTAAGCTAAAAGCTAATTTAAAAACAAAAACATCAAACACATGGCCACAAAACACTCTTCAGATTACAAACAACTATATGCACATGCTATGCAATGCACACTTATCTATTACAGTAGTGCCCTTCAACAGTAGTTAAGATAATGTTTACATAGAACATTTTGAGGGAGGTACAAATGTCCTAAAAATTATTTTGCTAAAAGGTATTCACATTCTCACACCAGGAGCATGTTTGGAGTCCCTGTTCCCTTTTTTGAGGGAGCTCACAGATGGGGAGGAAATGGGAGACTATGAACATCTTTAATCATTTGTGCTGCTTCTTGTTAGATTACCACTTAAACATACATTATATTAATTCAATGACTCAGCAATATAGTAGAACCTTACTAATTATTAGGGGGCCCATTGCAAGGTTCTGAATTTGGTAAGCAAGACAAAAAAAGCAAGGCCAATGCATCACAAAAATTATGATATATTCAGTAATCTGCTGTAGTTAGTTTTAATTAAGTTACTTTATATTATCCTAGTGAACATATTGTGTTACACTTAGAATTCTTACAAAATGTCTCAGGAGCACTAGACCTCACTATTACTAAAACCATTCCTGATAAACAATAACCCAGTTGTTTGTATGGATTTGGGGATTTGTGAATCAGTGAGTTTCTATCATACACAGAACTAGAGAAAGTTTTAAAATATGAGCTGCCATTGGGCTTCTGTTGTGTCAGAAAGATCAATCATCAGAAAATGAAAGTACTGTGTGCATCTTAATCAACTAGAACACAAATATGATTGAAACTGCAAAGTAAAAAGACTTCACTGAAGTTTTACACAGACTTCCAATAGGAATAACCTCACAATTTAAAAAAAAAAAAAAAATAGGATGTTAACAATGGGTATTCCACTTCTGGACAAAATGTGGGGAGGAAATGGAGTAGCCCATGTTTCTATAGCTTTGTTTTATTATGACTCTCTTATATAATCTGCATATATAATTCCCCCTACTCCAGTTCCTCGGAGCTGACTTGGCTAATGGACAGAATCCAGTTAAGCAAGTAGTCTTTCCACTGCTCTCAAGGCTCTGAACATTCTCTCTCAGTAGTTCCTTTCACAGAGCTCAGTCATTCCTTTTTCTATCAATGTGGTGTTAATACCTACTACCTTCAGGTGGAACTGCAAAGGATCTCAAGCCCTCCTGCTATTCTACATTCTAATTTAGGGCTCCTAAGCAGGCAGTGGCTGTTCATTTCCCATCACATCCTTGCTTCATTTTTTCCTGTGATGCTTTTTCTACTTGGTCCAACTTCTTCTAAGCTTTTCCTACTCTGCCTGGGAGAAGCTGTTTCCTAGTTCTCCTAGACCTCCTGCTCCCTCCAGGTCTCTGTTATACTGAGCTCAAACTCCTCCTTATAGATCCCTCCCACAATCACCTGATCTTTGGACTCTCCTCTTCCCCCGGCCCAACTACATTTCCCAGAATTCCTTTGTCTTAAAAGGGACAAGCCCCAGCAACTGGCCAGGTGGCAGTGCCTACTCTTAAGTGTGCTGCTAACATAATCTGTTACACTCCTAAAATTGCATATTTTGTGTTGATTTTAAATTTTTATGAACAGTTTTCAAATGGAAAGAAAAAGAAGCAGTCTTTGTGGTTTCTGGCAATATTTTTGCATGCTTGAGGTAAAGTAGCAGAAAATATTCTAGATGCATGCACTTTGATGCCAAAAGATAAAAGAGGGCACACAACACTCTCTCAAAAAGAAAGATAGATGTAAAAGATGTAATCCTTGCTGTGTATTTTGGTCGATCCCCCAACCAATCATCTCTTCCCCTCAATATCCAGGATTTCACCCATGATCTTTATCCACTGTTTCCTGAAGGATCCCAGCACACTTCACTGTACCCACAGCTGAAATACAGCACACTGTCTGGTGGGATGGTATCAATCAAGCAGGTAACTGGAGCCTATGCAATACTAATCAACAGTGGGTCAAGATTCTCATTCCCATAACCCACTCCAAGCAAACAAACAAACCCTAGAGAGTGGTTTTTTTGTTTTGTTTTTGTTTTTTAAACTAAACAGTACATTATTACATTTTGATATATAAACAGTGACAGTGCAGCACTGAAGCGCTGCATCAGGATTAAAGTCTTCAGTGCTTCCAGAGCCCTGCAACACTCTTAAAGGGGGCTGTAGTCCCCCCCACTTTTCTTGCCTGGCTCTCGATCCCCACTGTGAGCTGCCTTGTAACCAATCCCACTATTACTCAGCTCCCCAACTTGGAAAACTAACTCATCCGTAGCTGCTAAATCTGTGCCAGCCCACCAGCGCTCACGTTCCATCTACCGTACCCTACATGTTAAAGGCAAAGATTCAGGTGACCGTGAACAGCAACATCCCTAGTCAGGAGTTTCTGTTTAAGATCTCAACCAAAAGGCCTCACACAATAGTCCAAACAGAATTGCATTCTATATGCTCAGTGTTTTCAAGTATCACCATTTCAATCCATTTCATAATAATCTGTTGATGTACGGAGGTCAAACAGCAGTGAAACAGAAGCTGAAGTAGAAAGTGGTTGTGTTGGGGGGTGCAGTTCCCTCAATTAAACATTAAAATTTTCATTCAAATGAGCAAACAAATGAGAGTTAGTGTTGCCAGTACATCCTTAACTTCTCTCCACACACATTTTCCTTAAATATTGCACAAAGCATGGAATGCATTTTCACAACTCTCCTCTGTCAAGGAATCAAGAGTGAGTTAGCAACAAAATAAGATTCTTAACACTGAAATCCTTTTGCTTTGTTAGTTTAAATGAGAACCTTAATCAAAATTCATTTTTATTAAATATGCAATAATATTTCTGCCTGATTACTATAAGAAATGAAAACAAACCTCAGCCACTTCAATCTGTAATATAAAAATACTGCCATGAAAAGATATTCTTTCAAAGGGGCTTCATTTAAAAAAAAAAATCAGAACATTTCAAATGTTTTGTATGGAAAGGAGATATGTCTAACTCACTAGAGCCCAGAGAGTACTCAGAGCCTTCACATACTCACTTATCCAGACAATATTGGTATCTGCACAATTAGAATTCTCTCTTATAGAGGCTGGATGAAAGTCTCATTCTTACCCCAGAGTTCCCCGGCCTGACATAGGAGGACTTGGTGGTTTTTGTGTAGGTGGATTTGTCCTTGACAAGGTGCCAGTTCTTGCAGGCTGGTTATTTCCATGCTGAAATGAGGGGAACATGATTTTATTTTTATACTTAAATGCCTCTACTTTTGAGAGTTATTTTTTAATGTAAGAATAGGAAGTGAGGATTCCCAGACAGCTATTGAACAGCTGGTTTTATCTACACACTAGAGAAGACAACAGGAAAAGGAAACAAACCCTAAACGTAAGTTTCATATTGTTTTTAACTGTCATTTTACAGCTGAAGTACATCTGAAAATTAAGCAGATGACAAGTTCATGCAAAAAAAGGTCTTCCTTTTCCCTCTTTAAATTACTATTACATTCCATTTGTGTGTCAGTTCCACTATGAATATTTTAAATAAAAAATTAAAGCTGACTCTACAAAACTGTCAGTCTTCATTCAAAATTTCTCACTCAATTTAGCTCAGCTATTTGACTAGCACAATCAAGCATATTGTCTGGGAAACCTCCTATAAAAAAAATGTAAGTCAATAGGATCAAGGCATCTACCAAATCAGAGCAAAGCGCTACATGTGTTAGAGAAATTAATGTATCTATGTATAAATGCAAATGTCAATATATCACGGATATATTAACACATCCAGGCTAAATGTTGCAAATCTGCACTGAAGTAGAGCTTATTTAACCTAAATAACCTATGAAAAGCAGAGAGAAGTATAGGAGAGTTCTAGCTTTCAGTTTTAATGGCTCTGCAGCCTCAACTATCAATACAATGAGGCACTGTGGGTCAAATGAGAAATGATTCTTCTTACCTTGGCTTTTAGCCACTTAACGTTGGCAAAAAAAAAAGGTGGGGAAAGCAGAAATTAATAGCAGATCTATCACAACTGATAGGACAACTTTAAAAAAACAACAACAACAGTAATTCATTTCCCTAACAACTTACATTGCATCCCAGGTATGCTGTTAAAGACCTCATGAGCTCATAAGCAGTCACAGGACAAACATCACAATTAATAGGCATCTCCAAATGAAACACTTAAGAAACTTACATTTATTATCCTCGTGGCCAGCAAAAGGGACACATGCCTCTTGCCAGCCTTAAGTTTCTAACACCAGTTTAAAATGTTTGGTTAACACTAATCCAAGACCAAGAACATTTTATAGTTATAAAGTATCAAAACCATACATTCTCTATACAATCTCTATCACACATTACAGAATGTATTAAACCATCAGTACTTTGGGAATAGAACCCAGAATGGAGAAGTCCTACCTGCTGCACGGAATGGCAAAAAAGAATTCAAAGAAGGGAAATTCTCAGACTGGATATGCAGCAGAGCCTTTCACCGCTCTAGGTTGCTGCTTGAAATCCAACCCAGGTCAGTAATGCAGCAGTGCCAGCTCTTATGATTTTATTGCCAGCATCAAAATAATTAGTATTTGTCTTGAAGTTCTGACTTTTGGAGTCAGATGATGATCTCCGCTTTTGTTTTAAAAAGTAGTATGTTTCTAGCCCTCATGGTTGCAAAGGAAAGCATAAAAATGTGACTTCAGGTTATCCTAAAGGCTCAAAAATCAGAAAACAAAAAGAACACAAAATGTATTTTTTTAATTATGGGGGGGGGGGGGGGCGGAGAAGATACCTGCCTCAATTTTTGAGTGGCTGGGGGAAGCAATACTGATAGTGGTAAAAAGTCATTATCTTTTGTTGGCTGTTTGGAAGCAGTTTGGCATTTTCTGACCAATCCCTAAAGGAAAGTTGTCCACATAATGAGAAATCTAGCATCCTTGTTGAGAGTTTCAGCAGTAGTCAAGATATAGGAAGTGGAACTACAGTGGGTCCCTCCAACTCTAAGTCTAGACTGAATTTTATTGGCAAGAGGCAGACTAAGGATGTTTATACTACTATCGTCTCTGATGCACCTGTTCTATGGATGAATACAGAAGTTCAGTCTCCAAGATTGTCAGACTGGTATCATCCGCGAGCACTATATTTTTATAACAGCTATTAATTTCCTGGAAAACAAAGCTTTTAGCAATGAATCTGCTTTTGTCTCCCCATCTACTATGTTCCTTCCCTTTTTAATTTTTCCAGTTGCTAAGGCCAATGGTGTAAAACAAGGAATTCTGCTAAGAGATCAAGAAGGCCATAGATCCTAACCTTCCAGCTGAAGACTTAAGAGAAAGCATGGCATTTTAGCTCAGAACTCCTCCCAGGTCTCTAGAACACCTAACCCCTCCTTTTATCTCAGTCCCACCCCCACCCTCCCCAGGTCTCCCAGCATGGTCTCATTCATCCAGGTTTCTCAGATCATTTAGTTCTTTTGGTCAGGACTATCTACAAATAAATGATTCTTCCCCCGCACCACTTTGTTCCATCATGCTCCGCCTCCTCTGCAGAGTGGATGCAGACATCTAGCAGTGATTCAGGGAGCTGCATTTTATTTCAAACACTAAAAATTGTAGCCACATTGTCTAAGAATACAGGAATAATAAAGCTTACAGATTAGCTAACCTTAGATGTTCCTTTCACCAATAAATCAGTCATTTGCACTAGAAAATCCAAGATTGTTCTTGATGACTACTCAACTAACCATTTTTAGCTGTTTTCCTTATTACTCAAATGAGAATATCAGGATCAGCCCTATGCCAAAACAGCAAAAGTATAGCCTGAGACACATTTTGGGGAACCTCTGCAGCCAAAGAATCCATTTCTTCTACAGACCTCTGAATCTTCCCTAAGTAGCATGTTGTACGCATGGATCCCCTCCCTATTTTTCTGGTGGAGTACCTGGATCAATTTTGGAGTATCACATGATATGGTATTGGTATTAAAGAAGAGTCACAAGCAGCCAGGGGCTATCTTGGTAGGTGGGAACTGAGGCATAATGAACAGGCTCTCACACATTGCTTCTCACTGGGCTCCTGAAAACTCAGGGATGAACCTAGAAAAAGATATGTGTAACAACCCAGAGGGTTCTTCCTGACTCCTACATGTGATCTGCATTCTGGAATTGGGGATTTTTAGTTCCAGTTCTGCCACTAACTTTTGGGACTTTAAGCAAATCACACTTTGTGTCTTAGTTTCCTTATAAGTAAAATGGAGGATAATACTTAGCTCTTGCCTCACAGGCTGTTCTGGGACCCAAAGAGACAATGTCAGGCCAATATAGGCTCTAAAACAAATCTTCTACAAAAGTAAACATCAGTAGAAAGATTCCATAATATTTTATTATTTTAATGGAAATTTTTAGATTAGCAATATGCCATATATTGTTTGCAATCCAGTAGTTACAGATTCCTGTTAATGCCGTGTAACCAGAAAGTGAAATGTAAGCAGATGTAGACGATGAACAAAAGGGATAGTACTTTTGTTGTCCAAGTAAACAAAAATCCAGTTAGCTTTTTTAGATTTTCCCTTTTTATTACTCTAAGCTATTATTAGCAGCACAAGAAAGAAAATTTGTTTATGAATTATGTTCAACTTTTATGTCTCTGAAATGTTTGTAAAACATGTAAAATAAATGTTTGGCTTGAGATCCTCAGATGAAGGGTTCTCTATTAGGGGAACATTACATTACGTTTATATTTTTTAAACATTGCAGTATCACTGACTCCAAGCATTCAAAATCATGAGTCAGGCTCCAAAACTCAAGAGCTTGGCTTACAAAGCAATAGGTTTTTTTAAAATAAGGTGGTGGTGCGGTGGGTTTTTTGGGGGAGGGGGGTGGAGGGAGGCACATTAGCTTCTAGTTTTGTCTTTCAGGATTCACGCTTCCAAGGTTTTCTCTGCAACAATGAACTTTTTCTAGAAACTTAACAAAAAATAAATCTAAAGCGGAGATTCTCACTTAAAGTTAAATTTGGTGTTTTTCTTAAAGCACCAGCTATCATGAGCCTCATGATAAAATTATCAGCGTTGGCAATACTCATGGTTATTTTTAACCTCAGTGTCCTTTACCCTACAGCAATATGTATTGTTTGATAGTGACCCTCTGAATAACATGGCAGCAATGCAATTGGCAAAATGACACGAAGTTCTAGTGTCTGACACTAACCAATACCAGGAACAGGGAGAATTCAGAGTCTCAGGCTCCAAATCATTGGCTGCTTGTAGAAGTGCCTATTTAAATCTTTCTAATAAGTCTCTACAAAAATAGTTAATGCTCAGCTGGATCCAACATAAAAGGCCTTTCCCTACAGGGGAGAAAAACAGCAAGTGCACAGAAATCTTTTCCTCATAGTCTTGCCTTTTGTTCTGTTTTATGTGGTAGATATAAACATGAAGAATATAAGTGACTAAGCTGGTACATGGCAAGCATTCATAGATGTTGAAAATCAAACCCACTTCTCATATTTAAGTACTATGGGATTTGGAGCCTCCATCTCCAGTTTAAATTTTCTCCTTTCCCTATCCCCTGCATCTTTCTTGGGTCCATGACTGATTAATCAATCTTCACCTTGTCACAAGTGCCTCATATCTAGGAGATTTTAAAATTCTTCCAAAGTGTCCACTTAAGGTGCTCAGTCTTCCTGTAATTTTTAAAAAATAATTACTAGTTTCATACAATAAACTCAATCAATTGTAACTACTGGACAATTCATTTAGTGAGTGTTAAACACATTATCTACATTTAGCATAAGAAATCATTTCCATTTCTGCTTTAACCTTCATTTTACAATCAGGTGGACTGAGACACCCTGATAGCCCCAATTCTACCTGCCTTTCATTTTTCACACAGAATATTTTAAAATTCTAGCAGGGCTGCTAGACAGGCATAATTCTTTTCAGCAACATTCTTTAAGCCCTGGATTTTCTGTATGGATAACAGCATTTGACCTATTTTTTCCTTCACAAAACAAAAGGAAGAGAATGGAAGAATGGTTAAATTAGCTTGTGTCTAATTTTTTTTAAGTTACTAAGCCAGAGTCTTCATACATTAAAGCAGCATTTCATGTCATGATAGGTTCTGATTTACATGGGGTTGAGGAGGGAATGACTTCAGTTGTGTCCCCCTGTCCTCATCCCCAGAGAATGGTCGCTGAGTGACTATTTAGTATCTAACAGACTGGCAAAATCTGCTTGTGTGTACATTATTTCTTGCAGCCATTTACACAATGTTTGTTCAATGAAAAGGGAAGTGAGCCATGTTAAGTCTAATCACAAGTGCAACCGTTTTAAAAAAAAAATCCACTGCCCACATATGATGCATCAAAACCAAACTTATGGTATCCCTGGGCTCACTGTTCCCATCCCAGGAAAAATCCTACAACTGGAACAGAATACTAAGCACTGCCCCCTCCAAAGGGAGAGGTTTGAGCATTGTGGAGTAGAGATATGGAGACAGCCTGAAAAACTCTCAGACCCACAAGCCAGTAAGAGTATAATTAGGTAGATCCTGGGCCATTTTAGGGGTGGCCTGTCCCTGTGTGCTAACTGTGGACTCTGGATCCCACACAGCACCCAGGTTCCTTAAGGATCTGGGCTGCCGCTGACTAACTCCCTACAATGGTAGTGTAGCCTTTTGGTACATAGAAACTGTGGAGGGCAGTTTCTACTACTAGAAACATCATCAACTCCCACAGTGATTTCCCCAGCAGGAGGGAAATATACTATGGAGAACAGCTGCTGCCTATCTTCTCCCTCCCCCATCAGCAGAGCATCAACCACACAACAGCTGCTGATCTCGTGGACTCAGAGGGAGGGAGAAATACACAGAGCAGAGCCCTTCCTCATGCCCCTCCATACATGTTCCTGCTTTTGCTTCTCTCCTTCTGCATGATGATCCACTCCCTATTCCCAGGGTGAGACTCAAAATAAAGTGTGAGAAACTTTTGTCCCATTAGGGAAGGGAATTCAGGAACAAATACTTTGGGAGAGAGGAGTATTTGAGTAGTTCCAGTACCAGCTTCGTTTCTATCATTTTTTTAAATTGAATAAATGAGAGTCAATTTGAATTTATGTTTTGTTTAATAAACAGTTCTGGTATTGCTCATTGCAATATACTTTTGAAATAATTTTTAAGGCATTTAAATATATTTAAAAATATTTTCACACAGACATTAGAAGTCATAACTGTACAGGCTATGGTTCCACATTTATTCTGGTGGCCTCTCATGTTTTCCTTACCATCTCCCCATTTTGTTCCTACCGCCACCAAAACAAAATGAAGTCACACAAACAGTGATAACTTAGCCCTTATAAAGGATGTTGTTGCACTGTTTGAACATTAGTTAACACTTACGCAATAGTTACCTCGTTTGTAAATATTATGCCCCATTTTATTGAGGAAAAAGACAATGTATGAACAGGGCAAATTTACAGCTGGTCAATCTGTGGGTGAGCTGGGATTAGAACTACAATTTCTGGTTTTGTCAGGAAATCATGCTACCTCCAAGGCCCTAGACAGTTTCCATCAATACTTTAACCTGGGTGAATTTGTGGTCAAGAGTATAGGGTTGGCAGCAGTAAAGTCTGATAGCCTCTTTATCCACATATTGGGTATTGTAGCAAGGTAGTCACCCCGCTCCTGCCGGGAGGGGTTAAAAACAGCCCTGGAGAGGGCTGTGGCTGGGGAAAGGATGGTTGGGGCATGGCCCCAGCTAAGGCTGCTTCCCCAATCAGGCCACAGCTGGCCCTATAAAAGGGCTGCTAGCCGGAGCTCAAGAGTCTCTAGCTGTTGAGGGAGACGGGCCTGGCTGCTGCAAGCTGAGCAAGGTACCTGGAGTGTAGCAGGGCTAGGGAAAGGCGAGAGGAGCTGGGGAGCTCCAGCCTGGAAACTCCCCAGGCTGCAGGCCTTGATAAAGGCCGGAAAGGTACTGGGATTGCAGAGGGGCAGCCCACAGGAGGCAAAGGCAGCAGGTCCAAACTCTCCATGACGATGATGAATGGCTTGTACGCTGCAGTCCGTCCCAGTGAGCGGGGGCTAGATAGTGACTGTCAGCCATAGACTGAGGCAAGGTGGGGGATAGAGAGTTGGGGGTTCCCCGAGGAGGGGAGACCCCAAGTTGTGGGGATACTGCCAGGGGGCAGAACTCCTAGGCAAAGGGGCATTGGGGTCTGGGAGAGACATGGGGGCCAGCGGCAAGCAGGGCATCAGCCTGCAGAGGGCGCTCCGGAGGCTGGAAAAGCTAGTTCCCTGAAAGGCCAGCAGGAAGCGCCGCAGCGGTGAGTCACGCCCTGTCACAGGTATGCTGAAGAATTTGCAATGCAGCTTTTTCCATTCCTGCCACTAACCATGTCAGCCCCAATTTGACAGAACCACTCTGGTTAGGTTTGAGACATAACTTGAGCTCCCAACACAGAGCCTTTCTAGCTTTTAACAACAAATAAATATTAACAATGTCAAATATCAATGGCCATTTGACTATGCGAACTCCTGCTGACTGGGAAGTGATCTGAGGCTGTCAATTTAATTTCAAGTAGAAATCTGAACTGGGACCCAGAAGTGGAAAGCTTTTTGCACTGAGCCATCTATCCTCTTTATATCTAAGACTGAAGGCAGAACAAGCAACCTCCTTTACAGCTACAATCAGTACCACATCCTAAGAGACAGTGTGATATACCAGTTAGGTGTCTATGATTAATAGCAGTCTCTCTGGGTGACATACATACAGCTACTGAAGTGGCTGGGTTGAGGTCTATGTTTATAGAGTGGAAGGCTATGGATGCCATTTCCAATAGCAGGTGTGTAAGGTTTACCTGGCAATTATGGTATTTGCATAATGAATCCATGTGGTAGAGACAAGGGCATCATCTTTTCACACAGCCATTGTCCCATCGCCTATAGCAGAATTGATAGCATGGCAGTAGGCCAATCACACAGTGAAGAAACAAAAGTAAGATATAGTTAACATAGTACACTACAAATCAAGGCCACTAAACTTCAGGTTTCTTCTTTGGAATGGTTTCTAGTAAAGTCAATTTTCCATAATGAGGTTAATTAGTTGGCAGATGGCAAAAGCTACCATTGAAACTTGTATAAAATTGCAAAGAGCCTTTTAGAAAAAGGCCATTTCCCAGCAAACAGAAGATTATCAGTTCGAAAGGGCAGGCTATTTTTTTTCCTAACTGAAGTTGAACATGTTATTAAAATAGACATGCTAAAATAAAAAAAGTGTACAAATTGGAGAAAGCTGCTATTACGATGTAACAGCACTGGAGTCTAAACCAAACATTTAGCTTATGAGGCTCGAGGACATGCACCCCGCAATAATGCAGCAGCGGCTAATTGATTAGTCTATTTTATGGTCTTCTAGATAGTCTATCACTCTGGTATCTAAACGGTGAACTGAGAGCTGGCATTGGAAACATGGATTCTGACACTTCTCTACTGACTCAAGCTACCTTCTCTCATATGCAAGGGGCCCTAAATGAAAAGTGACTAACTTCTATGGAGGTCAAATGGATTCCTTTGCATCGTTGCTCTTATGTTCCAACACTGTACGTTTCATCTGCTTTGCATCACTGTACCAATATAGAGCAGCTCTAAGCCCAGTGGATCTTGCTCACAGGGTACGACTACACTGCAATTCAACACCCACAGCTGGCCCGGGCCAACTCTCGGGGCTCAGGTTCAGGGACTGTTTAATTGTGGTGTAGATGTTCAGACTCAGGTTACAGCCCAAGCTCTAGGACCCTCCCACCTCACAGGGTCCTACAACCCAGGTTCCAGCCCATGTCTGAACATCTACACGGCAATTCAACAGTCCCTTAGCCCGAGCCCTGCGACTCCGAGTCAGCTGGCATGGGCCAGCTCGCAGGTTTTTAATTGCAGTGTAGACATCCCCTCAGAGGTTCTCTGCTGTGTAGTGAGATCCTCAGGCACTACAGGGCCCCCTAACAGCTCCTATGCCCTGAGGCTGGTGACAGCTGTCACAGGTTAAAGCAGCCTTCTTCACTGTGCTTAGCCGCTGCTAAGCAACCCCAGGATCACTGAAATGCCAAGGACACCTTGGCACCTCTTCATTTCCCTCCACCTGCGGTGATTGCTTCTCTGCCACAGACAAGGATCTAGTCCTTAGAGCTGAGCACTATAGAAAGGCACTTCAAGATTGATGCAGCTGCTTTCCTGACTGACTAGCACACACAAATCCTTATTTGGATACAAGGTCCTGAATAAAAGCTTTTGAAGGAAAGTCGGGGGAAGACTGCAATTAACTGAATGTACTATCATGTCAGCTAAGGAAAAATAAAACCTGCTATTACCAGACAAGGAAAGATTCCCAGGTGGCAAAAGATACCATGTTGATTAGTCTTACCTAACTGTCCTGCGGCCATCTGTTGTACCCAAAAAAGTTGTGTTTGGTCAAGGCACTTGTATACATGGAGGAAGATTTCCAAATGGACAAATGAAAAGCGAAGTGTCAACTCCCACTGATTTTTCAATGGGGGCTGCCCTTCGTGCCTTTAAAAAAATCTCTCCCTAATGAAGTCTCCAGCCATCAAGTTTGCCCATGACCTAAACTTTTTTTTTTTTTTTTAATTTAAACTAAAGTGGGAGTGTAGGAGAAGAAAGGGATAAAAGGGGCTTTTGCAGCACTTTTTTAAACTAAGGAATGTTTTTCAGTCATGTCCCTTTTTCTAACGAGTCATTAGTGCAATTGCATTGTTATGAAATAACAATTATCAGAATCGTGAGCCATTGTTTCCTGGTTTGTGGTTACTTCAGGCAGTCACAAGTTTATAAGCAGAAATTGCTCAAGACCTCAACATAAAAATCTCACTTTGCGCCTGTGCTGCTCCTGGGTACGTTTGTATCAACCCCTCACTCCTCACAGCAGCACCAACCACTAAGTATTTTAATCTCAACTAAAATTCCCACCGTATTCAGTTCAAATAGGTCTTCAAACTTTACATGGATTCTCACCTTTACACCATGGCCGACATCATCCAGCACGGTATAGTCGATAGGTTTTCGAATGTACCTTACAGGGCGCTCCATGTTCGCCGGCGCTATAATTTTATGAGTTCTTGATGTGTTCTTATTGGTTGTCAAAATACCTATCTCTCTGCGAGCCACTTTCTCTTTATGGATGTCCACAGTCTAAGTTTAAAACAGAAAAGGATATTTTATTTAAAGACATGCCTAAACATTCAAGTCAAAATCAATTAATCTGAATTATTAAATTAATAGCACTTGAAACAAACTACTTTATTAACCTCACTAAAATAAGGAAAAGTTTGCAAACAAAATTTAGAGTAATAAACAAGATCTTTGTTCTAAAAATAAAATAATTACACTCTGCGGAATAACAATGCAGTTCCAAGTAAGAACAGTAGTAAAGTGATCTATTATAAAATATTTGATTTTTTCAAACATACCTTATAGATATTACTGGATTAACCACCCTCAACACCCTTATAATTGACATTAGTGATCAGTTATTCCATTTTTACAGATGAGAAACCAAGACAAAGATTAAGTGACTTGCCCCAAGCCACCAACACACAAGCCACCCACTTACTACACTAGAAAGACAGTTTCCTTGCCACTAATGTTTTAGCTACCTTCTGTGCCTGCTCCAAATTTTGTCTTTACCAAAGAAAATGGATCCAAAGCTTCACACTGTCTATTGTATGCCTTAAATAGGGCATCAATCTCTACTCAGAATGGAGATTTGGTTTGGTGGATCCAACCCCTGGAATTAACTTCCAAGGGGTGGGGGGGGAAAGGGTTACACCTGTACTGTGCTCTGCCAATTTAGAGGGCAAGGACCAAATAAGTAGGGGCAGTACAGACTAGGGGACCCTGACCCTGCAATCTGAAGGAGCAAACTAATTTTGATGGCATAAAACAAGCCTCTCTGCACATAAGTTGGGCATTGTTTAACTCCTAGCTGAGGGAACCAAATTAAAAGGCCAAGGATATAGACCAACAATCAGAACCCAGGAGAGAGAGAGTGAAAAAGAGCAAGAAGATCCTGGTCTGTCAGTACTTGTTTGGATCAGTCTCTGGAAACAGCCATCTGCCCCAATCAAAACCAATATTGGGCTGCATAGACTTTTAGTAAAGTGGAAACAAGCACCCAGATGAATCATAAAATTAGTTTGTATTCAAAAGCAATTTTTCACCATCTAATCATGCCCAACACAAGCACCCAGGAGGTCAACAGATCTTAAGAAAACACGGGTACATTTACATTGTAAAACAAAAAACAACACTTCCCCCACAGAAGTGGGTGTCAGAGCCCGGGTCAGTTCACTCAGGATTGTGCTACAGGGCTAAAAATAGCAGTGTAGACATTCCTGCTTGGGCTGAAGCTTGAGCGCTGAAACCCTCCCACCATTGCCAAGTTTCAGAGCACACACCAAGGTTGTTGTTTTTTTGTTTTGTTTTTTGTTGTTTTTTTAATATTGCAGACTTACCTTAACTCTTTGCTGACTAAGCATACAGAGGTGATTTTCAAATGCTTGCAACAGAAGAACGGATTTAGTCAATTGAATTCTAGTATGTGCTTAAATCATCTTGAGCTCTTTGGAGTTAAAGTAGAAGGAATAAAAACCTTTCACAGCAGTTTCTATACCCTATTAAAAATCGCAAACTAGTGGAGGAGGAACTTAAAAGAAGCAAAGTCTAGCGGGCTTGTTTTCATAGCCTCAGACTGAATAATAGTTTGCAAAAGACAGTTACCTTTTCCATAACTGGCATTCTTAAAGATGTGTTGCTCATGTCCATTCCACAATAGGTGTATGCGCTCGCCACGTGCACTGGTGCCGGAAGTTTTTCCCTTAGCAATAACCATAGGGGAGCACCCCAGCGACCGCTGGAGTGGCGCTGCTATGGCATGTTATAAGGGGTGCTGCGTGCTCCCCCCACCCTCAGTTCCTTCTTGCCAGACAACTCTGACAGAGGGGAAGGAGGGCGGGATGTGGAATGGACATGAGCAATACATCTCGAAGAACACCAGTTATGGAAAAGGTAACTTTTTTTCGAGTGATTGCTCATGTGCATTCCACAATAGGTGATTCCAAACTATATCTGCTGGAGGTGGATAGGAGTTCAGACACTCAGGACGGAGCACTGCCTTGCCAAACCCAGCGTCCTCCCTAGTTTGGGAGACGATTGCATAATACGAGGTGAACATGTGGACCGATGACCATGTGGGCAGCCCTACAAATGTTCTGAATAGGGACATGAGCCTGAAAGGCTTGCACCCTGGTCGAGTGCACCCTCACAATCGGCGGCGGGGGAACCCCCGTCAGGTCATAACAAGTACAGATACATGAAGTGATCCAGTTGGAGAGCCGCTGAGTGGAAATGGCCGACCTTTCATGCGCATGGCAGTAGCGATGAACAGTTGCGAAGACTTACTGAACAGTTCTGTACGTTCCAGGTAAAAGGCCAGAGCCCGTCTCACATCTAGCATGTGAAGGCGGTGCTCCTCACTGACTCGTGGGGCTTGGGACAGAGCACCGGCAGGAAAATGTCCTGGCCCATATGACAGGCGGAGACCACCTTAGGGAGGAAAGAAGGGTGTGGGCAGAGCTGGACCTTATCCTTATGGAATACCGTGTTCAGAGGTCAGGGCCCGGAGCTCCGAGACCCTTCTAGCAGACGTGATCACCACAAGGCTACTTTCCATGAGACATGGGACCAGGAGCATGTACCAAGTGGCTCAAATGGAGGCCCTGTTAGCCTGGCCAGCACGACATTGAGGTCCCACTGAGGGACCGGGGATCTAACATAAGAAAAGAGGCGATCCAAGCCCTTAAGGAATCGACCGGTCATGGCATGAGAGAATATAGTGTGGCCCTGTACTGGCAGGTGGAAGGCCGACATGGCTGCCAGATGCACCTTGACAGACGAGGGCGCTAGGCCCCGGGCTCTGAAATGAAGGAGGTAATCCAGTATAAACTGGATCGGAGCAGCCACTGGCAAGACGCCCCGATCAGTGGTCCACCGGGAAAACCGAGACCATTTTGTCAGGTAGGCCTGACACATGGAGGGCCTCCAGCTCTCCAAGAGGATGCGCTGGACTCTCTCCCAGCAAGTCCTCTCCTCTTGGCCTAACCATTGAGCAACCACGCCGTGAGGTGGAGGGCTGCTAAGTTGGGGTGGAGGTGACGACCTTGGTCCTGAGAGAGAAGGTCTGGCGGGTTGACAATGGCCAGGGGGGGGGGTGACTGCCAAGCTCATGAGAGTCCCAGTGCAGTCTGGGCCACGCCAGGGCGATCACAAGGACGCGAGTTCTGTCCGTCTTGATCTTTTCCAAGACCTTGCCAATCAGTGGAATAGGGGGAAAAGGCATACAAAAGCTGATCCAACCAGAACAGAAGGAAGGCATCAGAGATCACGCCCAGCCCTCCCCTGGAGCAGAAACGAGCACACCAGCAGTTCTGGCTGGTTGCGAAGGGGTCCACTTGAGGGGTGCCCCACATTTGGAAAATACTGTGCACCACCTCCGGGTGCAGCGACCATTCGTGCTAAGAGGAGAAGTCCTGGCTCAGCCGATCTGCCAAGAGTTTCAGACGCCCGGTAAGTGGTGGGCTTTGTGGATTTGGTGCTGTTAACCAGCAGCCCCAGTGTGGTGCATGTGGACAGGAGGAGTGTTACATGGTTCTGTACCTGTGATCTGGAGCTGCCTTTGACCAGCCAGTCATCGAGGTAGGGAAAAATCTGGACCCCTGGATGCCTGAGGTAGGCCGCAACCACAGACATACACTTTGTGAAGACTCTGGGTGCCATCAAGAGGCCAAAACGAGAGGACAGTGAACTGGTAGTGTTCCTGTCCTACCATGAAGCGGAGGAAACGCCTGTGGCCCTTGAATATGTGAATGTGGAAGTACGAGACTTAAAAGATCCGCAAATTTTGCAGCGGTCGCTGAGGTGGGTTCCCCCAGACAGTGTAAACAGGCAGCGTGTGGATCACTCATGGGCATAGTTCACCGGGGGAAGGAGACCAAAGCCCTGAGGTAAGTGGGGAAATGGGATACCTGGAGGAAGCATGAGCAGGAGAGCGCAAGAGGGGAGAACTCCTGTCTCATACTGAGAAAGCGGGACGATCAGCAAGTTATCTTAAGTGCCTATACACAAATATAAGAAGCCTGGGAAACAAGCAGGGAGAACTGGAAGTCCGGGCACAGTCAAGGAACTATGATGTGATTGGAATAACAGAATAACTTGGTGGGATAACTCACATGACTGGAGTACTGTCATGGATGGATATAAACTGTTCAGGAAGGACAGGCAGGGCAGAAAAGGTCAGGGGGTTGCATTGTATGTAAGAGAGCAGTATGACTGCTCAGAGCTCTGGTATGAAACTGCAGAAAAACCTGAGAGTCTCTGGATTAAGTTTAGAAGTGTGAGCAACAAGGGTGATGTCATGGTGGGAGTCTGCTATAGACCACCAGACCAGGGGGATGAGGTGGACGAGGGCTTTCTTCCAGCAATTAACAGAAGTTACTAGATCGCAAGCCCTGGTTCTCATGGGAGACTTCAATCACCCTGGTATCTGCTGGGAGAACAATACAGCGGTGCACAGACAATCCAGGAAGTTTTTGGAAAGTGTAGGGGACAATTTCCGGGTGCAAGTGCTGGAGGAACCAACTAGGGGCAGAGTTCTTCTTGACCTACTGCTTACAAACCGGGAAGAATTAGTAGGGGAAGCAAAAGTGGAAGGGAACCTGGGAGGCAGTGACCATGAGATGGTCGAGTTCAGGATCCTGACACAAGGAAGAAAAGAGCAGCAGAATACGGACCCGGGACTTCAGAAAAGCAGACTGACTCCCTCAGGGAACTGATAGGCAGGATCCCCTGGGAGAACAACATGAGGGGGAAAGGAGTCCAGGAGAGCTGGCTGTATTTTAAAGAATCCTTATTGAGGTTGCAGGAACAAACCATCCCGATGTGTAGAAAGAATAGTAAATATGGCAGGCGACCATATTAACAGTGGCTTAACAGTGAAATCCTTGCTGATCTTAAACACAAAAAAGAAGCTTACAAGAAGTGGAAAATTGGACAAATGACCAGGGAGGAGTATAAAAATACTGCTCAGGCATGCAGGAGTGAAATCAGGAAGGCCAAATCACACTTGAGTTGCAGCT